TATTATGATAAAAGGCCTCATCTAACAGAACAATATCACAATCCTAAACATATATGCACCTAACACTGAAGCTCCCAAATTTATAAAATAATTACTACTAGACCTAAGAAATGAGATAGACAGCAACACAGTAATAGTGAGGGATTTCAATACTCCACTGACAGCACTAGACAAGTCATCAAGACAGAAAGTCAACAAAGAAACAATGGATTTAGACTATACCTTGGAACAAATGGACTTGACAGATATGTACAGAACATTTCATCCAACAACCACAGAAAACATTCTATTCAACAGCGTGTGGAACTTCATCCAAGACTGATAGACCATAAAACGAGCCTCAATCAATTTAAGAGAATTGAAATATATCAAGCATTCTCTTGGACCACAGTGGAATAAAACTGAAAATCAACTCAAAAAGGAACCTTCAAAAGCATACAAATACACGGAAATTAAATAACCTGATCCTGAATGAGCATTGAGTATAAAATGAAATCAAGGTGGAAATTTAAAAATTATTCTACCTGAGCAACAATAATGACACAACCTGTCAAAGCCTTGGGGACACGGCAAAGGCATTGCTAAGAGGAAGCTTTATAGCCCTAAATGTCTACATCAAAAAGTCTGAAAGAGCACAAACAAGGTCACATCTCAAGGAACTAGAAAAACAAGAACACACCAAACCCAAGCCCAGCAGAAGAAAGGAAATAACCAAAATCAGAGCAGAACTAAATTAAATTGAAACAAACAAAAAAATACAAAAGATAAATGAAACAAAAAGCTGCTTATTTAAAAAGATAAATAAAATTGATAGAACATTAGCAAGATTAACAAAGAAAGTAAGAGAGAAAATCCAAATAATCTCACCAAGAAATGAAACAGGAGTTATTACAACTGACACTACTTAAATACGAAAGGTCATTCAAGACTACCATGAACACCTTTAACACACATAAACTAGAAAACCTAGAAGAGATGGATAAATTCTTGAAAAAATACAACCCTCCTAGCCTAAATCAGGAAGAATTAGATACCATGAACAGGCCAATAACAAGCAGCAAGATTGAAACTGTAATTAAGAAATTGCCATCAAAAAAAAAGTCCAGGACCAGAGGGATTTACAGCAGAATTCTACCAGAAATTCAAAGAAGAATCGGTACCAATCCTTTAGAAACTATTCCACAAGATAGAGAAAGAAGGAAGCCTCCCTAATTTATTCTGTGAGCCAGCATCACCCTAATACCAAAACTGGGAAAGGACACAACAAAAAAAGAAAACTGCAGATTGATATCCTTGATGAACATAGATGCTAAAATCGTTAACAAAATACTAGATAACCAAATCCAAGAACATATCAAAAAGATAATCCACCATGATCAAGTGGGTTTCATTCCAGGAATGCAGGGATGGTTTAACATATGAGAGTCAATAAATGTGATATACCACATAAAGAATTAAGAACAAAAATCTTACGATTATCTCAATAGATGCAGAAAAAGCCTTTGACAAAATCCAACATCCTTTATGATTAAAACTCTCAGCAAAATGGACATACAAGGGACATAACTTAATGTAATAAAAATCATCTATGGCAAACCCACAGCCAACATAATACTGAATGGGGAAAAGTCAAAAGCATTTCCTCTGAGAACTGGAGCAAAACAAGGATGGCCACTCTCACCACTCCTCTTCATCATAGTACTGGAAGTCCTAGCCAGAGCAATCAGACAAGAGAAAGAAACAAAGGACATCCAAATTAGTAAAGCAGAAGTCAAACTGTCACTGTTTGCTGAGAATATATTTTCCCTGAAAACCCTAAGGATTCCCCCAGAAAGTTTCTAGAACTGGTAAAAGAATTCAGCCAAGTTTCCAGATATAGTATTAATGTACACAAATTAGTAGCTCTTCTATATACGAACAGAAATCAAGCAGAGAATCAAATCAAGAATTCAACCCCTTTCACAATAGCTCCAAAAAAAAAAAAACAAACTTAGGAATATACTTAAGAAGGGAGTTGAAAGACCTGCATAAGGAAAACTAGAAAACACTGCTGAAAGAAATCATAGATGACACAAACAAATGGAAACACATCCCATGCTCATGGATGGGTAGCATCAATATTGTGAAAATGACTGTAGTGTCAAAAGCAATCTACAAATTCAATGCAATCCCCATCCAAATACCACTATCATTCTTCACAGAATTAGAAAAAACAATTCTAAAATTCATGTGGAACCAAAAAAGAGCTCACATAGCCAAAGTAAGACTAAGCAAAAAGAACAAATTTGGAGACATCACACCACCTGATTTCAAACTATGCTATGAGGCCATAATCACCAAAACAGCATGGTACTGGTGTAAAAATAGCCATGTAGACCAATGGGACAGAATAGAGAACCCAGAAATAAACACAAATACTTACAGCTAAATGATCTTCAACAAAGCGAACAAAAACATACAGTGGGGAAAGGACACCCTTTTCAACAAATGGTACTGGGATAATTGGCTATCCACATGTAGGAGAATGAAACTGGATCCTCACCTCTCACCTTATACAAAAATCAACTCAAGATGGATTAAGGACTTAAACCTAAGACCTGAAACTATAAAAATTCTAGAAGATAACATTGGAAAAACTCTTTAGACATTGGCTTAGGCAAGGATTTCATGACCAAGAACCCAAAAGCAAATGCAATAAAAACAAAGATAAATAGCTGGGACCTAATTAAACTAAAGAGCTTTTACATGACAAAAGGAAGAGTCAGCAGAGTAAACAGACAAGCCATGAAGTGGGAGAATTTCTTCACATTCTATACCTCTGACAAAGGACAAATATCCAGAATCTATAATGAACTCAAACAAATTGGTAAGAAAAAAAAAACCCTATCAGAAAGTGGGCTAAGGACATGAATAGACAATTCTCAAAAGAAGATATATAAATGGCCAACAAACAAGAAAAAATGCTCAACATCACTAATGATCAGGGAAATGCAAATCAAAACCATAGTGCCATACTACCCTACTCCTGCGAGAATGGCCAAAATCAAACAATGAACAAATAGTCACGTTGGTGTGGATGTGGTGAACATGGAATGCTTCTACACTGCTGGTGGGAATGTAAACTAGGACAGCCGCCATGGAAAACGATGTGGAGATTCCTTAAAAAACTAAAGTAGAACTACCATTTGATCCAGCAATCCCACTACTGGATATCTACCCAGAGGAAAAGAAGTCATTATTTGAACGTATGCATATTTATAGCAACACAATTCACAATTGCAAAATTGTGGCCATCAATAAACTGTGCTGTGTGTGTATATATATTGTGTGTATATACACATATATATGTATATGTATATATATGTGTGTATATGTATATGTGTATATTTATTTACACACACAATATGTACACACACACCACAGTTTCTCTATTGATGATATATACACACACACATATATATGTTGTAATACTATGCAGAGAAAAAGGAATGAATTAACAGCGTTTGCAGTGATCTGGATGAGATTGAAGACTATTTTTCCAGGTGAAGTAACTCAGGGATGAAAAACCAAACATCGTATGTTCTCACTGATATGTGAGAGCTAAGCTATGAGGACGCAAAGGCGTAAGAATGATACAATGGACTTGAGGGAAAGAATGGGAGGTGACGAGGGATAAAAGACTACAAATATGGTGCAGTGTATACTGCTCAGGTGATGGGTGCACCAAAATCTCACAAAGCACCAGTAAAGAACTTGCTCATGTAATCAAATACCACCTGTACCCCAATAACTTATGGGAAAAAATTATTTAAGACCAGATATTTTTAAATTTGTGGTTTGAATATTTGAGAAAGGAATTTAAGAACAAAGATATAATAAGAAAAATAGGAAAAATGAATGTCGTCATGCATGTAAAGTCTCACAACTGGTAGCTAAGAGACTAAAATTATCCCCAAGACAGTATCCTTCATTTTTATATGCTCAATGTGTGAACATTGTCTGGCTCTGTAGATGTTCAGTACATCTTATCAATTAATAAATTAAAAGATGGATGCATTTTTGTTCTTCTTGCTCCTTCTCATGATCTGCTTTCCTTCTTTACTCCCATTTTAAATTGCTTTCAGGTTTATACCAAAATGTGACTCACCGTTATGTCTTTGTATCAGCCCTCCTTTGTGTGTATGTGTTGTGTAAGAGGTTTTTTCTACATCATTCCACCTCTTGCCCAGCTAAAATTAAACCAAGTAGAAATAGGATAAAACAAAGCACTCAGTTAAAGTTGAGTATCAGGGCTGGGTGCAGTGACTCAAGCCTGTAATCCCAGCACTTTGGGAGGCCCAGGCGGGCAGATACTTGAGGTCAGGAGTTCAAGACCAACCTGACCAAAATAGTGAAACCCTGTCTTTACTTAAAATACAAAATTTAGCCAGATGTTGTGGTGTGTGCCTGTAATCCCAGCTACTCGGGAGGCTGAGGCAGGAGAATGGCTTGAATCCGGGAGGCAGAGATTGCAGTGAGCCGAGGTCATACCACTGCACTCCAGCCTGGGTGGTAGAGCTAGGCTCTGTCTTAAATAAATAAATAAATAAATAAAAAAAAAAAAAAAAAACGTTGCGTGTCAGATAAGTAATGAATCAGTTATTTAGTATAAGTACATCCAACATATTTCACAAAGGCAAAATATTGCAAGGTGTATATTTATCCTAACAATTACTCATTGTTTATCTGAAATTCAAATTTAATAGGCATCCTATATTATATTTGTTATATCTGGAAACTTTAATAAACAGCCATTAATTCCCCTGATGTATATGGCTAACACTGCCCATAAGCATGGCAAAGTCTTAGTTATGTTGATTTATCCCAAATAAAATGTTTACATTTCCTCTTAGTTTTAAACCATAGTGGAAATAAGCTTTTCTCCTTTGGTTAAATTGTCTTCCATTTGTTTCACCTTTTTCCATTCTGAATCTCTCACTTCTCTTCTTAATTATAACACATTTGAAGGACTGCATTTTTATTTGTGATGAAACTCATAGATTAGAATATTCATACAAGTCACGTAAAAATGCATCAGGATGATAAACCTAATATACAGTGTTGCATAGGTAGTGCGACTAAGAAACTACACATTTATTGTATACAGTGTCATTAATGCCAATGAAATTCTTCTTAGAAGCACTTCTTGTACAAAGAGTATGTTTTTGCAGTTAGCAATAGTACAGGCATTTAAAAAACTACTATTTATAGAGCTACAACCTCAAACCATTCAATGGAATTTGGTCTTGAGTTGGCATACCGCTTGATAAATGACGCTGATTTACAACGACCTTTCCATACATGCCAGGAAAAAAGAGACAAGAAGCCTGTTACTTTGCAGAAGCAATTACAGAAAATTTGGAACAGTAGTACCATTCCACATTATAATATGCACATGTGTTATATTGCACCTTCCTGAGTTGAACTTTGAAAATGGTAGCCGGATGCAAAGCCAGAATGGATGAATTCATCACAAGCTGGACCTTCACTGGTGGTAGTAGTAATCCTGACCACCATAGCCGTCATAGCCATGTCCTTTAAAGTAGCTGTACTCATCCTCATAGGCTCGGTAACTGTCCCCACGAGGTTCCCCATTCTCACTTTCATAGACTTCATATCCATTGTCGTATTCACTGGTGCCCGTGTGTTCATACTCCCCCTCGTATTCAACGGTGGTGGTTTTCCCAAAAGGTGGGGAGGTGGTTCTATAGGGCTGTGGTGGGGTCGTAGGTTCAAAGTCACCATTTGGAGAGGTTGTTGTCTTAGATGTGCTTTTGCCCTGCCCTCTGGTCGCTGTGGTGCCTTCCGCACTGGCTCCAGTGACACTTTCTACTTCCCCTTCTTCTTCCCCGTTGTCTCCGCCGCTGCTGCCGTTGCCATTTTCTGCCTCTGTGCTGTTGGTACTGGTGCCGTTTATGCCTTGTTCGTTTTCATCCACTTCTGCTTCGCCTTCTTCATTTTCTTCCTCTTCCTCCTCTTCTTCTTCTTCATCACTTTCCTTCTTTTTCATAGCTTTGTTTGTTATATACCCAGCCTGAAAGGAAACATTTTAAAGAACCCAAATCTAGCTTTGAAAAATGTAAAATTTAAGGCCACCGCTTCATCCACACAATATTCTACACTGACAGCCTTGTTCTAGGCATCTGATTTGAACTAAGACCAATTTAATTTACAAAATGATTGAAGGCTTTAAAACTTCAGGATAAATCCCTTTGTCATGGGTTTTGATGGGGAAAGTGTGCCATTATTTAAGGATAATGCCTTTCCTGGGGGAGATTCTTCCTAGCACTTTGCTACTCACTTTTTCTGTCTTGAATTCTCAATCCTGAAATGCCATGATATCTGTCAGGACCTTTTATCCATTCCTAGATGTGTGTCCTTTGTCTTCTGTTATAATGTACAAGACAGTGTAATAACATGGGAGGAGAACTTGCCTGGGAGAAGATCTTTTCTTATTTGTAAACAGGAAAATTGTATCTGCTCTCACTTTTTTAAGTTAATGAAGATAGTATAAAATACTATGTGTATAGTGTTAGCATACCCTTACACCCCAGTAAAAAAGTTTTAAAATGATTTAACATTACCATTATTACTAATGGTAATAATTACATTTTGGAGGAATAATTTCATTGTTACCTTCTTGGGAAGCTGGATTGCAGCTAACCCTGTATACCCTGTGCCTGGTGTGGCATCCTCTCCATAGCCCAGGGTTGTAGCAGAAAGTGTGGTATTCTCAGCCTCAGAGTCTTCATCTTCATTTGATTCTTCATTGTTTTCTTCTTCATTTGAAGCCCCCTGGTAACAATGTTCAAGGTTAGAAAAATTATTCTACCTGGAAGATAGTTCAGGGTTTATTGGAGCTGTAAATCATTTGTCGGAGGTTTATTATTTGGAAAAACTTTGTATCCCTTTGCTGACTGATCACTCAAAGCCTGCCTTCCCTTATGCCATTTGCACTTCTCACTTCTAAGAGCTCAACTCCAAGTTATTTAATCCTCCTTACCACACTATATTATGTTTTAGGTATTTCTGCTTTGTATTTTATTAATTAAAGAATATTTGTGTTTCAGGCATTTGACACATCATTTTTCTGTACAAGGGAAAAAAACTAAACACTCTAAGAAATTCTTAGTGATATATTATTGCATTAAGGTGTTTTTAAAAATTAATACTCTTCAAATGAATGCTTATTATAATCTTTAATATTTCATTCTTTTGTATTTATTCCATGTTGTGAGGCAATTGTTTTCTAATTGAGTTGATCTCAGCGTAATTCATAGTTAACATTAAAAGTCAGGGTTTCCCATATACAGAATTTATTTAAACAAGCACTGGAAAATTGAATTCATTTCAACACATTTTAATAGCTTGTGATAACTTTTAAAGTTTAAAACAAACAAACAGATATTTAGCCTGCCTATTATTAAAACAAAGTGACTAAAGCACCAGACGTTTCATCAACTTTGTACATTTCACCATTTCAATGAAGGGTTGTGGTACTACCAGAGTCTACCTCAAATTGTCTCCAAGCTAATTGTGTCAAATATCCCAGAAACACCATAGTGTTTGTTTGTTGTTTCATGTTTATGCTTTATTCCAACAGACCTTTCAAAGGTAGAAGGAGAAATTAATGTTAGCATCCTTAGGAAGATCCATAGAGTAGGAGAATATACTATTTGCAGGTGAAAAATCTGATTGGGTTATATGACTCATATGAGGTCAAATAGATAGCAGTTTATTGGTGGCTGGGTCATGACTAAAGTTTCTTTTCCCAGATACTTTATTTAAGGATGTTCTGTTGCACATGAGTTAAATAGGAAAATAGGTCAATCTGTTAATGGGTATGAGGTTTCAAAAATGTTATTGGATAGAAAAATAGCTCCAGTTTGGGCTTACAAAGATATTATCAACTCACTAGATTGTCTTAACAAGACTGAAAGAAGCAAGTGTTGGTGAGAATGTGGAGCAACTGGAATCCTCATATACTGATGGGGAGAGTTTACCTGATATACTGATGGTGAGAGTATGTCTGTTTTGGAAAGCTGGTTACCATTTACTAAGGTTGATATATGCCTTAGTAGATTTTGACTCCAAAATTTCACTTTTAGGTGAAATGGCCTCCAGAAATGAATATTTATATGTTCACCAGAAGAAGTTCTAGAAAGTTCATAGTAGCACTTTGTAATCACCCAAACTTGGAAACTACTCAGGTGCCCATCAACAGAAGAATAACACATTTTGGTATGTTCACATAATGAAATACTGACAACAAGAATAAATGATCTACAACTACAGAACAACATGGATGAATCTCTAAAGTTGAGTGAAGAAGTGACACACAAGAGTAAATAATGTATGATCCTACATTTATAATATACTAAAACAGGCCAAAGTAATCTATCTATTTAGACTCAAAATAGTGGTTGCCTTTGTTGGGGTTTTTAAATGAATGGAATGGAACATAAGGCAAGCACTGCTTTTTTATGAGTGCTAGTTTCATTTGTGAGTTCAAATTCTGAAATTTCAATGAATTGTAAAATTTGGTTAATTTTATCACATGTATTTCAATAGAAGATTTTTAATGAGATTAAACAGCTTAGGAGTGGAAAAAGAAAATGTGTGATCACCAAATAAAAAATATGCCTAAGTACCCTCCTCATGCAAATGCAATCCCTGGAGACTCTACGTTTAACCTAAGTTGCTAATAAAATTTTAGAGAACAGGGAGAAAAAGATGTTTCAGAATCTCTTCGGGATGAAAGACTTCCTGTTTTATTTATCCACTTTTCCATTACTACTTTTAATGAATGAACTTTGTTGCATTTATTCCTCTGGAGTTTTGAAACCAAATCACCAGATATTTACTGGGCACCATATATGTATATGAAATTTTGCTCGGCAGCCTGAGGAGATACAAAACTGGGTAGCATGGCTCTTCCCCAAACGGATTTTAACCTATGGTCATGAGGTATCTGCAGATAAGTTCTGGGAATATTCAGAGATCCTTGGAAAAATTTTGTGTGTAGGTAATTTCATCAGAGCCTCCAAAAAAAGCCCCAATCTCCCTCAATCCTCAACCACCACCACAACAAATGAAGAGCCAATCCCAAAAGATATGCAATCTAGCTGGGAAATCTAGTTGACAAAGAAATTTTACAACCACTGTACAGCAAATAGCTATAACTAAATTGATAACCCTAGTCTAGTTATTGTGTAAGATTACTACGTGGAACTCCAGGAGAAATTTTGTGGGCTTTAGTGGGTGGCGTTTTTCCTGGTACTGGCTTAACATTCTTGTAAGGTCTTCCTTCAAGCTGTTAGTATAAATTATGATACGGGAAATGTTACTTTTAGAGTTAAAAATATACCAAACTAATGATTTGTCACTTTTCAAGTTCCCACACCATTTTGTTTTCAAGATAGCTGTTTAGACATAATCCATTTTTGACTATCATTGTCCATTCAAAAATAGCACCTGAGAATACCTGAATTTAAAAGGTTCCCAAACCAGTGGATAGCTATAATTGACTATGTGGGAAGATGCATCCTAATTGGCATGTTTCCTTAGGCAAGAGTGTCAGTTATAAACATGGTAGCACAATTTCCAAGACATATAGATGAATCTTAGCCAGGGACTACACTAATCTATAAAACAATATGGGAAGATATTTATATACCTATGAATTTTGTTATTACCCAAAAAGACATATGATTTTTTTTTTTTTTGAGGCAGAGTCTCATTCTGTTGCCCAGACCGGAGTGCAGTGGCAGGATCTTGGCTGATTGCAACCTCCACCTTCCGGATTGAAGTGATTCTTGTGTCTCAGCTTCCTGAGCATGCCACCACACCGGGCTAATTTTTGTGTTTTTAGTAGAGCCAGGGTTTCACCATGTTGGCCAGGTTGGTCTCAAACTCCTGACCTCAAGTCATATGCCCACCTTGGCCTCCTAGAGTGCTGGGATTACAGGCGTGAGCCATCACACCGGCCTGAAATTTTTATTAAAAAGAATAACCCTATTTTGTGGGTTATGAAAGGCTAATGAATCACAATAATATTGTAGAGGATATAAACTGGTTTTTACATATTATTTTCTTGGTAAATTAAAATTTAAAGCTCAGTTTTTAAAACAAGTCTTGCACTGAGTTTAGGATTATTATTCACTTGTCTTCTAATATCATGTTCTATCCACCTAAATAGAAATAATACTATCAGATTTTATACACTTCTACTTAAAAGGAAGACATTTTTGGTTTTGAGTACCATTTGTAAGTAACTTCAACCCCAAACTGCAATAGTGTTTTAAACAGGTCATGTTAGTGGACTCTAACTTAAATAACATTCTACTTATCTAATAGGATATTGTGGGCAGTTTGTAGGGTGACAATGGCTATTTGCTGAGTTCAGATTATAATAGACTAACGTCCTATTTGTTTTTTGTGCTGTCTGCTTTGCTATGAAAAGACTGTAAAGTTCCTTACCTCCTCTTCCTCCTCCTCTTCTGAACTATCATCTCCGTTTTCTTCAGATGAGTCACTGTTGCCCTGAAAATATATATACATGTATGTATACACATATCTGTGTACAAACATATTCAACAGCAGTTTAAATTTCCTGCGGATTGAATCATGATAAAATACACACAAATACTCAATCTAATTAGTGTTACCATCTTGACTGATTTATTTACTAAGAGCAGATTGCATGCTGATGTGAGAAAGATAGGAGGAGATTAGACATGCAAAATGAAGTTGGAGAAATATAGGCATTTTATGATGATCAAGATATGAATTGGATGCCCCATTTGTCAACTTCCAAAGCATTGACAATATGTTGAAACATTTTGTATGCAAAAACTAGAGCAATGAATCACAGAATTGTTTAACTTTGAGAGAACAAGGGAATTATCTCGTCCAATTTTTAAATTTGATGAAGAATGAATCAGCAGCCTACAAAAATAGTGATTTCTCCAGCCAGTTCAAGGCAGACCTTGGGCTAAGATAGAGTTCACCTTTTAAAATTTTATTTATAAAACATAAATGAAATGATTCAGCTTACTATAAAACCAAAGTTGTTATAGATAATTCTCTTACATAGTGAGCTCTCCTGTTGAATTTAAATTAGTATTTAATTTAAAGAAATTTAATTTGCATGTAATTTTTATTATCTTTAAATTTAATTAAAGCCAGTTCCTAAAATGAGGTTAATTTATATATGTGAAATAAAACTTTTATGAGAGAAAATTGTATTCTTTTAATTATTTAGAGGGTTGTATAGAGTAACATCTGTCTAATAAGTTCAGTATTGAATGAGAAGAAATTAAACCAAAGATTTGGTATATAAAATATAATTATAAGCTAATAGATTTTTCTCCTTTTAAAAGGAAATGTAAATCCAACCTAAGATTCTGTCATTTCCTTCCCTGAAAGTTTTAGCTTTGATTCTGATGACCCAGTTAAGTATCTTGCATTTAGAAAATAGAGCTGCAGAAGGATCTTTAACTTCTGGGTTAGAAATCAGATGTGAGACAACATTCATATCCCAGTACTACTGAGGCTGTCCCTGTTGGCTCATTCTTCGGATGCCACATCATCCACCCAAGAAAAGGGAATGCTTGTTGCCTCGAGCCAAGAATAACCTCGGGTGGCAAGGATAATAATTAGACCTGTTCTTCCACTGCCATGACCTTAACCTTAACAGTTGTGCCTTCTCTAGCCCAGAGGGTGAATAGAGCATTATGTTTGAACTGTTTCTATTTGTTAATTAACTTAAATATAGAGGACAGAATATTTATGCAATCAGCACTGTTTTTCTCAGTGGGGGTATTTCAATCACTTTACGTGCTCCTTCACTTCTGGCTGTCTCCCTAACTCAACCACACATCTAGTGTCTGCAGTGAGAATACTTTAAAAGCCATATGAAATGCCTTGAAGCCTTGTTATTTTCTTTTTTTTCCTGTCTTTCATTTATTACCAATTTGTTACTAAGTCCAGTTGATTCTCCAAGAGGTCTTTTATCTGTCTACACAGATAGATGAGAGTTCTGAAATGCAAGACAATTCTGAAAACCCGCAACTCTTGTATCGTAGCTGAGATGAGTCTGATAAAAGAAATGTAAGGTTACATTCTTGCCTTCTACGAGTTCATACACTAATAAAATATAATTTGAGTCACGAAAAGACAGTTTTCTCAATTAAGAAGCTTAGTATGTTAAGTTTACTTACACTTTCATTTCAATAGTCCAGCAGACATATAAGCTGTAGTAGATAGCTTGCTAATAACTTTGCAATTCAAGTAATATATTTCATTGTAAATGGTATTTTAGAAATGATTGTATATAAATGCAGATTTGTTTGATTAAAACATGAATTTCAAAGCCAATATAGCTTAATGTATTTTAGGGTGACAACTTAGGCACTAAATACCTAACAATACACTTAAGGAAAATAAAATTTTGTAAAATAGGAGAATGGGTCATGAATACTAGATCAGACAGTTGAATTGGGAGATATATTTTATATAATTTTATTTAAAAACAACTATCTTACAAATTCTCCATTAGTTGAGATGGACCTATCTGCATATAATTTGTGATAAAAATGTATATTAAAGAACTTCTTGATCTATAAACCTCAGGTCTATCAATATTCAGAAACGTAACATCTCCCAATATTGCTTCACTATGGACATTTTAATTAGAACATAGGCATATATCTGTACAAATATCCAGATGGGAATGAACATCTCTGTGTATCTCTATGTATCTAGTATTTCAGAAAAATTTAGGAGCTATTCAGAGAGTTGAAATTTACTATCATTTCCATTCAGTTTAAAAAAGAGATCAAAGAAAGCTTTCAAATGTGCACTGTTTATTTATGGGCCTGAGGCAAACCAAAGAAAGGAATACAATTCTGAAAACCCACAGCTCTTGTTTCATTCATGATCACATTTTTGTGGCCACACAAATCCCCCATAATTATGATGGTGCTAGAAATACTTTAAAATGATCATTTCCTATCATTGTATGGGCTAGAGATGGATTAGCCCAACATATGGTAAGATGCAATGCCAAGCCACTGTGCTGAGACATCGTTTTCATGTGTTTTCAGCATCCTGACTGCTTTTAGTGTCTCGGGAGTCCTGGGTCAAGTGGTGCATAATTGGTGCCCTGAACCCAAACGGTATAGTACTAAAAATAGTGCAATCCTGGTTTGTTGTATATTTAAAATCAACACCACACCCTCTGGTTTTCAAAGGCACTCTTCACAAGTAACCCAGTAAAATTAGAAACTCTTATTTTTAGTTTTAGTTATTTTTCTTTTTGTTTACAAATTTAAGGGATGGTTTGTTTTTCTCACAAGCTTTTTTCATGCATGTGATGAATTTCTTTCTTTCCTCGGCAGTTTTACTGTTATAATATGCTCCAGTGTATGACATATTGCTGTAGTGACCCACACAGGTTAAAATGCATAAAATCTTCAGAAATTACCATTGATTATCAAGTTTTTAAAAAAATAATGGCCTCTGCTGTTTATGAAGTCAATTTTTTCCCTGTCTGTTAAAGGACTGCAGTGTCACATGTAAAACAGCTATCTGACAGTATTGAATCAGCTATAGTAGGACAGCTAGTAACCTTATCACTGACATAATTGGTCAACAACTGATAAAACCGTCCAAAAGCCTGTTAGTTAGCAAAAACACCAGAACTCAATGTGACATGGTGTTCGTTTTTATTATATCATTCTAGACTCTACCCAAATGATTCAAATGATTTTGCTCTGTGTATATGTCTGTTTTATTTTATTTTTTTATTTTTTGAAAGAAAGAAAAAAAGGAGTGAAGGAGAGGAAGAAAGAGGAAGAAAAAGAGGAAGAGAAAACGGGAATGTAGCTTTATTCTAAAAATAGGTATTAATAATGGCCAATCAATATTTTGTGTATTTAAGGTGGAGAATGTACATTTTGTGTATTCAAAATGGAGAGCTCTATAAATATTGATTGAGTTTACTTGTTCCAGATCTGAGTTCAAGTCCTGGATATCCTTATTAATTTTCTGTCTCGTTGAGTCTAAATCTCTTTATGAGTCTTATGTATCTGGGTCTTAGGATCATTAGCTCTTATTGTTGCATTGATCCTTTTACCACTATATCTTTGTTGCTTTGAAATCTATTTTATCAGATGTGAGAATTGCAACTCCTGCTTTTTATTTATTTATCTATTTATTTTTGCTCTCCATTTGGTTGGTAAATCTTTCTCCATCCCTTTGTTTTAAGTCTTCGTGTATCTTTGGATGTGAAACAAACTTTATATAACATGAAGTGTTTCTGACTGAACTTCAGTGGCAGTTGAATTTAGGTGCTTTCTAGTTAAATTTAAATTATCTCCTTTAAATTATAATAGAAATTAAATTGAAGAAAAATGAATTTCTATACTTACCTGAACTGGAAATCGTTTTAAAGGAGGATAAAAGTAGGCATGCTTGTAAAGATAATATCGTGGCCTGTACTTAAAGACCTGTGTAAACAAAATAAATAATATATTCATGTTTAATATGCAGTGAATATACAGCAGGTATAATTAGGCCAAGGAAGTATGCTAAAATTAATTACCCCATTTTCTTCAGAATCCTCTATTTTGACTCTTCGATGCAAATTTTTCATCTGTTTTAAAGAACATTTAATTATTATATAATTTTTTTTTTTACATAAAAAGACAAAACTGAAAAACACTGTAGGTTTTTAATAAAGAACTTACTGAGAAAGCACAGGCCATTCCCAAAATGCTGAGCAAAATTAAAGCAGTCTTCATTTTGGAGATTGCTTCTGGAATTAATGAAGTGGTAAGGTTAATAAAATATTAAAACTAAAAATATAACTTTTTTGCTCATACTCAAAGACCAAGTATTAATTTGTTTTCATTTCTGTGTAATTATCACTTTGACTAATTAAAACTAAATTATTGCTTTTATTTTCAAATTATTCCTTCCATTTAAGTAACATAAGACTGACTTAACCCATTTGTCTAAATAGTCTTGAGTTCCATACTTGGTTTTAACCTATTTTCTGTGATTTGTTAATGGAAAACCTTTTCATTACTGCAGAGATGTTGAATACTTAGGGTACTTCACACTGGGGTAAGGGCCCTCTAAGTATCATCGACATGAGAGTGTCAGCTAAGTGAATTGAATTGTTAGTGTAGTTGTGTGCCCTGTTTGTTTACAATTAAAAACTTGACCAGATGTGGGGTCATGTCTCTAAAACCAGTATTTTGGGAGGCCAAGGTGGGCAGATGGCGTGATCTGAGAGATTGAGACCACTCTGGGCAACATGGTGAAACCCGTTCCCTACAAAAATTGCAAAAATCAGCTTGGCATGGTGGTGCGCACCTGTAGGCTTAGCTTCTCGAGAGGCTGAGCCTGGGAGGCCAAGGTTGCAGTGAGCCGTGTTCATACCACTGCACTCCAACCTGGGCAACAGAGTGAGATTCTGTTTCAAAAACAAACTCAAGAAAGCAAAAATCACCAATTCCCTATAAGCAGTTTCCAGCTTCTGTATAGGTTTTGGGCTAAAAATTTGTTTGTAAAATGGAAAATAGGAGATATTTTCCTCTGAATATCTTGGAATAACTGTGTGTGTGTGTGTGTGTGTGTGTGTGTATGTGTGGATGAGAGAGAGAGAGAGACAGAGAGGATCCATAATATGGAAAATACTATTCTGATAGCATGTGGCACCCAGCAGCCACTCCCCTAAAGATGATTCCATGAGACAAGTTCTTCAGAGTTTTGCCTTGGGATATTGGGGGAAGATTTCCTCAAATTTAGTTGCCTCCAGCTCCATTTAAGCTTTCCATCTGCTAATGTGTGAGACTGTACTGGGATGGATTAGGGACTCTCTAGGATTAGGGTGATAGACATGGATGAAAATTTCAATTCTATGGAACAATGAAGATGTAGCTCTCAAAATGGGAATAGGTCTTGAATAATCTTGGGGATTGCAGCCATGCAAAGAGCCTCAGTTCCACATAGATTCCTTGTAAATAAAAGGAAATAGTGAAATCCTATCCTATTTTAATTTTATTTAGTAAAATTATATTTAAAATTATATCATAATAGAGGTTGGGCAAGCTTAGTGGAAAGCCTACTAACAGCCATTTGCACTTACATGTACATTTAACTGTTAGCAATTTCTCATACATAGTCATAGATTTGGTAATATTTTGGAAGTGAAATGTATTGGTGATGGCCATTTCCCCATGAATACATTTTGAAAAGTAATATTTAAAATGTGTAAAACTCATGTCATATATTGAACCCTGCTGGTAAATTTTGTATTGTGTCATCATTGGCCAAGATTTATTGCATCCTTATTGAGTATCTGACACCAAGTTCTGAAGATACTGTCTTGGGTCCTAAGTCACACTCTTTTTGTGTGGCAGAGTGAGTCTTCAGATTTTGGTGCCCGTACAGTTTCTCACAGTCCTCTCTATCTTAGTAAAAGTTCTTGATGGCCACAAGGGAATAAAAATGCTTTGCCCCTGAAGGAGCCCATCTTTTTAGGCAGCTCTGATTGCTATTAGGGTGACCAAAATAACGCTTTCAACTTTGCCAGCTGTGGCCAAGTACATCAGCAAGCAGAGAGATTATTGCTTTGGAACTTTATGAAAAGGGTCAAAATATTTGTAATGTTTTAAAGAGCTAAAAACTTAATTACATATAACTATAGAAATAGCTTTGATTACATAAATTTCTCATAACAAACTATTAAAATAACCAGATGAAAAGATGACAGAAATAACAATAATAATAATACAAAGAATCAAGTAATTCATGTAGGCAGAATTGGCTGCCTTTATAAATCTTATTTTATTTACTTGTGATTCACCAAAAAGCAAAGACCTCTATAGTGATCACTACTAATGCAAACAGCAATTCAAACATTCTTAAAAGAGAGTTTTGAGGTTTTAATTTCAAGTTTTTATTGGAAAGAGTATGATAAAGTACCAACATTATTTATTTCTCTAGTTAGCACAATATATTTTCTGTTCCAACTTTACAGCTATAGGAAACATCAAAACTTAATGTTTAATATGTTGAAATGATAACATATATACTTGAAGTACAGGCTAGGTATAATATATAGAGAAATATGTGTACATCTAGGCAGATTTACAAATGCAAAATAGTATTTCAATCAGGTTATCTTGAATGCATCAGAATGAGAAAACGAACAGTTAATTTATAATGTGCAGAGAACAAGTGTAAGAAGCATAATCTTCTAGTTTTTTGTGCATAATATTAAGAATTTATTTACATGCCTAGGTTAATAGGTTTAGCCTTTTGGAAAGAATCTAAAATCTGAAGTGCCAGTTTAATGATAAGTAATTGTTAAACCATGTAATCATTCTACACAATGCAATAACATCATTTAAATGAAAAATTCAAAGCCAAGTTCAGAGATGTAAACTATGGAGTGTCTGATTTTATGATAATAAAGTTGTCCTATTAAGTCTTACCCTCTGGCAGTCCTGGGATGAGGAAGCAGGCTCACGGCAGTGAGTGGCACAGATTGAGTATTTTCTCTGCTCTCTCACTCACTCATTCACTTGCTTTTGCTGGCTATAAACTCTTCTTTGCCTTCCAACAGCCAATCACTGTCACGACCAAGGTGATGTCAGAACGTGGATTCTCACCAGAAAGCCCCCAAACTTCAACACTTTTTCAACACACAGGCTCAGTTGAATAAACATGCAATGTGGTTCTAGAGTTAAGAGGTTTGCGTTGTGGAATTTAATTGAAGGTTTAGATGAAGATGAATAGTTTGGGTTCCGAATATATATAATAATATGCTGGATTTGAATTAAAATAAATAGCAAAAGATTTAACCTTTTAAAATTTTCTTAATTATCCATGTTTTCACTATGTTGAAAGAAAGGAAATCTTACTGTCATAATTTTACATTAGTTTAGCTAAAAAAGAAAAGAAAAACTAATAAGAAAGGAACTAATGAACAATCAATATTTTAATATCAACAATTTTGTTTTCTCCTGAAATATGCTTCAGTGACTCAAAGTTGATATAATTAAGTCAGTCAGACTTTGTAAGATATATTTGCTAAAACACAATGCTGAATATAAAAGTTAGAACTTTTGAGAATCATACCACTGAGAGGCAGATTTTATCTTTTGCTTGGTAAATTAAACCTCTTTAGATTGTCCATTTATGTGGCCCTTCCTGACATGCATGTGAGGTCAGCTCACTTTTTTCTTGGGCCTCTGTACATCTGTTTTCCATTCATTTCATATTTAATTTTTTCCTATGAGTATAACAAAATGACTAGAGCTTGCAGGAGTGATCCATTGTTTTTGAAATATTCATGAAAACCGGCCCCCAAGGAATGGACTGATAAACTAAAGTATGAACTTTTTAATTTACAAAGGGAAATCTAGCTCAGCAGTTTTCATGTTCTCCTAGTCCAGTCATTTTATTCTTCCTCCAGTTGCGAAGTCCACTTGAGAAATAAAAAACTAATGAACATCATTTTTAAGTTGTGTGCCAATCACCCAATTAGATTCTTTGGATAAGTCATCTTTCTTTCAGAAAAGTTACTTGGAAAATACAGACTCATAAAAAGAGAAGTTGGATACATTCTTTCTATTTCATTCAACCCCATAAATTTAGTTCAATTTACCAAACCTTGAATTATGGAGCTTTTCACTGAGCCATACTATGATATAAGATGTGAGAAGAAAACAATAAACTATGGTCTCTACCTAAAAATTTCACAATTGTGCAAGGGAGATAGACATAGCCAGAGGATTCAGTAACCTAAGTACCTACAAGGTTCCAAGGTGCTATGGAATGAGAGAGGTTTACTATTAATTGGCAGAAGAGCAGTGGAGCTGGGCCCTTACACAAGAGTAGGAATTTGCTGGCTTATCAAGAGGGAGAGGTTGTCAAGAAGGAAGAGAGAAACATTCTTGGGAATGTGTCCAAAGGTTATGAAAGCATATGAAACCACATAGCAACACCATCCTGTATTTACTGAGTGCTCACGTGCAAGTTCTTCACCTGCACTATTTCACTCATTCTTCATACACAGAAAACAATTCTATGAGAGTATTCCCATTACACAGGTGAGGTATATGAGGCACAGTGCTAGTAAGTATGCCTTGTATTGCACAACTAGTAAATGGGGAAAATCAAGGATAAAAGTCAAGTATGTCTAATTTTAGAGCCCACACTTTAAATCACTGCATATTCTTGCTGTCATATCCAGAAAACCAATAATTCAATAGACTGGAATATAATGAATGAAAGTAGTGACACATGAGGTTGGTGGGATAGGAAAAGCCAGGTGATGGAGGGACCTGTGAGTCACACTAAGGGGTATAAACTCCATCATGAAAACTGAGAAAAATAATATATTCAGAGTTCAGTTGGAAAAATCTTTTGTTAACAAGGCAGCAATGACTGAAGAAGGCAAGATTGTTATGGAGAAGGGCAGCTTACAAAGGCTAATTGTAATGGTCCGAGAAATCAACAATAAAGTCTGAAATAATGCAGTGACAGTGGGGATGGTGAGGAGGGAAAAAATGAGAGCTATGTTAAATAGATAGAGTCAGTAGGACTTAGTAGAAGTAAGAGAGGTGGAGAAGCCTAGGATGACTTCCTAATTTCTGCCTCAGATAATATTGTGAGTGGTGCGACCATGTCTTATGCAGTGCCTAACAGAGCACCTGCTGTGTTCTAGTCACTTAGCAAGCTTTTTTTGATAGTAATATGATATAATGAAAGAGGTAGAGACTGAGACTCAAAAGTCTGAGGTTTTAATCTTGACTCTCCCACTAATTTGACTCTACCTCTTAACCATTCTGAGACTTCAATTTAAAGCACATTTACAAAATAAGGGCATTTTCACCAAAAAGAAGAAACCAACCATTACGTGTGCTTTCACACTCTTGGAGCATTCTGATCAAATAAGTAAACTTGAATCTGATCAGGCCTCTATAGGAATGCAAGGACAGAAGAACATGTAAAATAACACCATTGGGATGCATGCGGGAAAATCCAGAACATAGGAAACTTTATTAGATGCATTACCTCATTTCTTCAATAAAATAGAAGGGAAAATAAGGAAAGGGAAACTATAAATTATAAAGAACTTTAGAGACATTTCTAACGAAATTATGAAACAGTTGGAGAAATGTTGAATGCTAATGAGTATTTCATAGTCTTAAGGAATTATTGTTAACTTTTAGGTGTGATATTATTATTATTTGGTTTTAAAAAGAATTCTTGTCTTTTAGAGATAAAATAGTTAACTGAGGGTGGGGATAATGTTTAAATAAGATTGGCCATAAATTGATAATTGTCAAATTACTGATTAACAGGAATTCATGATATTTATCTCCACTTTTATATATGTTTAAAATGATCTATAGTTTTTTAAGAGAATGATAGAACTATCATAGGTGATCTCTAAGACTGTTTCGATTTTAAAATATACTGTGATGCCTTATTTTCAGTACGTCATTAACCCTAACAAACTCTTTCCAACAGTCCTCTAGCTGCTAAATTGATTAGATTTTTCATGTATGCTCATTAAAGCATTTTTTCTAAGAAATAGTACTAGGGAAAAGAATCACTGATGCTTACTAACTTTGCTATTTCTATAATCAGGACTGTCCCAACAACACTTTTTACTTCAATTCTCATGATCATAACATTCTTATTTATGTAAACAGTTATGAATTGATTCTCTTAGATGGCATGTGACCATAGATACATCTCATTGTGTGACCAGCTGCTCTGTAAGATGAATCCATCCTGGCAAATCCCACACTCATTGTAATATATTTGCCACATATACTCAATTGTCAAATTTTATTAATACCACTTTCATGTTTCCTTTATAATTCAACCTTCTCCCTTTTTTCTTGTCAGTTCTGTCTTTGTTCAAGTTCTCATTACTACTTGCCAGGCTAGAGTAGTAATATTCTAATCACAGGCACCTTGCCTATTTCCCCTTACAATCAATTCTATGGTTATAGAATTTGAAATTAAATATTAAAGTGCTAGTGGTGCTTTTGCTAGCTTTTAATTTTTATATTTCCAAACTTTAATAAAAAATAATTTTATCTTGGAAAGAACACTTAACATGAGATCTACTGTCTCAATTTTTTAAGTGTACAATACAATACTGTTACGTATAGGCACAATATTATACAGCACATCTCAGGAACTTAAGCATTTCACATAAGTGAGAGTTTATGCTATTAATTAGCAACTTCTCATTTTCCTCTCCCACTAGCTCTGAACAACCACCATTTCACTCTTTGAATCTATGAGTTTGACCATGTTAAATGTCTCATACAAATGGAGTGATGCCATGTTTGTTCCTCTGTGACTGGCTATTTCATTTTAGCATAATGTCCCCAAGGTTCATCCATGTTGTCTCATATTTCAGAATTACCTTTTTTTAAGGTTGAATAATATTCCAATGTATGTATATACCACATTTTCTTTATCTACTTATGCACTGTTAGACATTTAGGTTGTTTCCACATCCAGCTCTGGTAAATAGTGCTGCAATGAACATGGGGTGCTAGTATCTCTTTAAGATCTGAATTCAAATTCCTTTGGATAAGTACCCAGAAGTACGTATTATATACAGACAGTCCTGTATTATATAGGAATTTGGATAAGTACCCAGAAGTACTGTATTATATGCAGACAGTCCCCAACTTACAATGGTTTATTACTTTTTTGACAATAGTGTGAATGTGATACATGTTTAATAGAAATCATACTTTGAGTATCCATACAACCCTCTGTTTTTCACGTTCAGTACAGTATTCAATAAATTGCATAATCAGCACTTGATTATAAAATAGTCTGTGTGTTAGATGATTTTGCCTCACTATAGGCTAATGTAAGTGTCCTGAGCATGTTTAAGGTAGGACAGGCCAAACTATGATCAGTATTAAATGCATTTTTGACTTAATGATATTTTCAGCTTACAATGGGTTTATCAGGATGTAACCCCACTGTAGGTTGAGGAGCATCTGTAGTTCTATTTTTAATTTTTTGAAGAACCTTTAAACTATTTTCCACAGCAGTTGCAACATTTTACATTCCCACCAACAACGTACAAGGATTCCACTTTCTCCACATCCTTGCCACTTGTACTTTTTGTTTTTATAATGGCCACCCTAACAGGTGTGAGGTGCTATCTCACTGTGGTTTTTATATGCAATTTCCTGATGATTAGTCGTGTTGAGTATCTTTTTATACATGTTGACCAAATGTATGCTTATTTGGAGAAATGTCTATTCAAGTCTTTAGCCCATTTGTAATTGAATTATTAGGTCTGAAAAATTAATTTGTAGTAGTTTTAAAAATATATTTTGGAACTTAGCCACTTATTAGATACATGGTTTGCAAATAGTTTCTCCCATTTTATAGGCTGCCTTCTTGCTAGCTTTTGACTTTGGGCAAAACTCCCTCAATCTAAAAATATCTAGACCCTAGATATTTTTCCAAACTCATTTAGTCTTCCTTGGTTGCTAGAATACATTTCAAGATACTTTATTTAGGATTCATGAATAGCCAAGACTAA